CGATCAAGATTAATACCAAAAAAAATAAAAAACTAAGTTTTTAGTTGGAATTTTTTGTGGAATTATTATGCTATCAAAATGAAGCATAAATATAGAAGTAAAGCCATTTTACTATGGTTAAAAGAAACATACATCATCCCAAATATCAGCAAGTTCCTCAGAGGATTTGCTCTTAGCCCTGCTGATATCTATAATCGACTCCAAGGACTTGGGCTGCAAAGGTGTGAACCCGGATGCAAAACTCAATGTTCTGCAATATCCTGGTGGCCCCCACCTCAACAGATTTCCAGAAAATGCAGCCTTTCGAGTATTATCAACCTGTCTTTGCAAAGCCGAGATGGCACTAAAATAATGTTTTTTTGCAACCATTGATGAACATGAAGTTTTTGAACATAGGGATCCGGCTAACGAAAATGCCCTCCGTGTGACCTTGGATACCACATGATGCATCATGCAATTTCTTCTGCAACATACATATTAATATTAACATGGAAAAAAAGGAAAAGAAAGCGAAAAAGACGATCACTAATAAAATTTAGAAAAGTGAAACAACTGAAAGCTGAAACCCATCCCATGTTCGGCGCAAACAACCCATTTTACATTAGACCCACCTGGATACCGAAGTAGCAAATAGCACACAAAAGCTTGTAGAAATGCGAGCTCGACTCGTCAAACACCTACATTTTTATTACTAAGTCTTATTACTATGGTTTTGATTTAAAAGCAAAACACTTGACTAAACCACGTAAAGCAGGGAAGGACATATAACTCAATCAAAACAAATAAGCAGATAAAGGCACATAAATTTCTAACTCCAACCATTAAGGTCACAAATTGAACCCGACTTGTAAATAGCACATAGAACAACATAAAAATAATATAAGTAACAGCACAGCTAAAGACAAAATAATGGTACATAAGCATATGATCAAGCCTAAAGAAAATGAGTACTTCCAGCAATATTAAACAAGGTTTAGCAATATTAAATAAAGTTCATCATGATAACTTTAAAAATAAAGTACAGCAATATATGAAACCCAAAAACTCAACACAATTAAACTCTGAAAATGAACTCATTTCATCACACATACTCATCCACAATCCACTTATATAAGCCACAGCAACCGAGGCAAAACAAGCATAGATTAAAGCCTCAAAACATGCTTCTCTCTATTTTTTTTTTTTAATCAGTAAACACACAATAAATCTGGTAGAATGGTGGCAGTCCCACTAAGATAAAACCATGGTCCTATCTGAAATCGAAAACCTCAAAAACCAACTTAAAAGTTCATGCCATGAAAACATTGACTTGGGTGGGAACTTAATGCTTAAAGATTAATCATGAACACTTTAGAGCAAAGACTCTGCAAATAAAGTTCTTCTATCCAACTATCCATACCAGTCTCCCAAATATCAATAAAATAAGGTCGGTGAAACCGTTTTTCATAGTTATAAACATTAAAACCCACCGAACACAAGTCAACAGCCCCAATAAACTCAAAACACGCAAGGAAAAATTTTACATATACAAACTTCTATCTGCCTTCACCTAATGCATGAATTTTAAGTTTGAACTGAAACTTAGCACAAGAAAAACGTTTAAGACACAACAGTCAAGCTTCCCTTTTGTTCAATCTTCCAACACTTCACGCAATATATTCAAAATAATCACCAATCATTTCCAACCTCAGACATATTGCCAATCAAATGATAATTTAGACAAACAAGAACAAACAGACTAACCCAGACCCTTACATCAGCAATAGCATACATCAATCACAAACACATGAGGTAAAGAGAAACGTTTGTTCCAATACAACTCGAAGGACCCGACCTTCACAAAGAAAAGGGGATTTAGCGAAAATTCACCTCTCTTCGGGACTACACGCACGAGGGTCGGATCGGGCACCGTCACTCACGACCCTCGCGAAGATTCGGCTGGCTACTGCTCGATGCTGCGAAACGGACGGCCAACGGGGTGCCGTTGCTCTTCCCGCACGGGCCAGAAAGGCTGCCGCTGCTGTATCGGGCTCCCCTCGCACTTACGGGTTGCTCGAAACCAAACCGGCAATGAGCTGCTGCGGATTCTCGCCTCGACAGATGGCTCGACAGTCGACGGCGGCTCGAGCTCATCAGCTATGGCAGACACGCTGCCTGTGAACAGAAAGTGATCGCGAGTTGGTTGTGACAGTCTGCTGCTGGCAAGGAGGGCTCACGGTCGGGACTGCTCGGAGGTGGTCGGGGTTTGCTGGTGGTTCGACGGCGATGGTTGACTGTCGGGGCTCGCAAGAAATCGCCGCTCTCAGTAGTCGCTCGCAGTGGGTCGTTGCCGGCGAGAAAGGAGGCTCACGACGGCTTTGTGTTGTTGTGGTTTGCTCGAAACGGCTCCCTTCCGGCGTGTTGTGGTCGCTCGCAGATAGAGGAGGCTCGTCGGAGGGCTGGGTCGCCGGCGATGGAAACGGAAGAGCTGCTCACGTCACCGAAAATCGCGAATTGGTCGCGATCCAAGCTCGATTGACGATGGGTTGTCACCGGCGAAAGGTTGCGGATGTTTCTCGGTCGCGACAGGAGGGCAGGGTTCTTGACCACTGGTTGCCGATTGAAGGAATTTGAGAGGGGAGGGATGGGTAATTTCTTTTCTCGATCGATGCGGCGTGAGAGATGAATCTCGGCTGGGATTTGAAAGAAAGAGTCGTACAAAAAGGCTATGACTTGTGGGGGAGGGAAAATTAGGGCTTGATTAGGCCTTTACTGAAATTAAATTTGGTCTTGGGCTTACAAAATGGGCCAAATGGACAGAGCTAATGGGCCATGAATAATGCATAGAATCGGCCGAATTATTCCAAGGCTTAATAGGGCCGGTTGGATTTAAGCTACCAAAATCAGTACAGAAGGGATAAAAATTTGGCTAAGCAAAGGTTCACTCTACGATAGAGGTTCTGGTCGAAACGGTACGAAAACGAGTTAAGTTCGGTTTACGCGAATAAACCGAAAATCGCCGAAACAATTTAAAAATCCGAAACAAATGAATCCTAATAATTCTAATATACATAAATAATATATAAACATATAATAATCACATATATTACCCACATAACAATTTTATATCAAGTAGACGAATAAGGCGAGCAATTAAATAAAATAAGACAACTATTCCATATTAGCAAATAAATAATAATATAAAATCCATAAATTCTAATAAACGAACGGGGCACTATAAATTCATATATTATCTCACTAAAACATTTATACTAATTAATTTTAACATATAAATTTATCCCTTGATATAAGAGAAAGTAACAGTTTTACTTATTATTGTTCACTATATAATATTTAATTATTATTTTATTATATAATAAAAAGAAATATTGTTAAATAGTGTAGTACAATTGTTATAAAATTATATGAATTATTTTTTTTTTTCAATATGGATTTAATATCTTTTTATGATTTGATAATATAACTATAATATATTCTTAAAGATATAATAATATGAGATACGGATTTACATAATACTATGAATTTATTCCTTAATATTAAGATATTGAATTAGGTAATATATGATTCACTAATTTGTAATTTGTCTCTTTTTATATTGAAAATAATCATGTGATTGAGTAGAGATAACAATTATCTATAAATTCCTTCATTTAAGGAATAATTTTTAAATTGGTCCAAGTGTTGAATGCAAGTAGATATTGCCTAATTTATCTAATTTGCAGCCCATTTTTTCATTAAAAACAGAGGGTTTTGATAGAATCCGTACAACAAATGCAATCACATTTAGGCTCAAAAAATTAATAATTCTTCAGTACTTAGGCCATATCTCCCGAATTCAATGCAACTATATGTAGATTGTTCCTTTTCGTTTTCTTCTTTCATAAAAAGAATAAAAAATTTACAGCAAGCTCAGTTAATCATTTGCAATTCTTTCAATAATTATCCAATAACACTAACTGATTCAATGGCAGCAGTGAATCATATATGAATTGCATAAATGCAATCCTCAAAACAGCAAGCTCAAGCAATCATTTGTATCTCAGTCTATTAATTTAGTAAATAATCAGTCCAATTAAACCAAAAATCGAACTAATCAAGTGAATGAAGAAGAGGCCCAATTTCAATTCAACTTCAATTTCATAGTCTCCAATGAAAAAAAAATGTTACCTTTGGAGTGGACACAACTATGCAATGGATGTCGGCTAGAGAGAGCCGAGGAGCAGATACTTTGGGCGTGCCGAGATCCGAGCGAGAGGCGAGAGATAACGAGAGCCGAGGAATTGGAGAATGTTCTGAGAATCAGCTTGTGAGGAGGCTGAGATGGAGACGTGGAGGCGGCGTAGTTCCTACTCTCGCCAGGTTGTGGTGGGCGGTGGGCCGTGGAGGTGCAGTGGATGTTGCGGTGGAGAGGAGGCTGAGAAGGAGATGAAGAAGATGAGTGAACGTCTGAACTCGAGGGTTTTTTTTTGTGAATGTGACGCTGGCAGCAGATTTTAGTTTTCTTTTCTATTTTTTTTTTATTTTCTGCTTATATAAAAAGTGAACACAAATAGCGTCCGCTACGTACGTTTTAGCGTAAATGGCGTAGTTTTCGCGCGTATAGCGTGCTACGTCATCTAACAGCGCACGCTATTGTGGAACTACGTGATTTTTTGAGCGCTACAGCGCGTTTTTGTCGAAATATGCGCTATTTTGCGCGCGCGCTTTTTAAAATACTGATATATATAGATATATCCATGTCCTTGTTTATTTTTATTGTATGAATGCATTAGAATGATTCCAAAATAATAGAACGACTTTTATATGTCAATAAAATTGAGGACAAAACATTTTAGGTGGACACCATAGACATAAAATAAACTAATGTAGCTTGAAACACCTTAAAGTTGATAACAAATTTTGTCAATCCACANGTTCGACCAGCTTGTACCTGACGTCATTTAGGTAAAAAGATTGTGAAGTCTCCAAAAGCCATTTTGCCTCTGAGTCACTCAGCTTGCTGGTGAAAACTATGTCACCACGGATAAGCACCAAATCCTTGCTGTCGGCAAATTCCTTGTAGTATGTGGCCGTGAAGTACGGAGCAGCTTGGGTCCCTCTCGCTTTATAATCTTCGAGGCCAGTGAAAAGCATGTGTGGCATCTGAACTGTAAGTTTGAGATGATAAAGGATTAATTAAATAAATTACCTCTGATTCTTGTTCATGTACAAATAAAAACTAGTCATATAATTTTTGGGTAGTTACAAGTAGTACATTGAAGGTTTGAGCTAACAAAAAAACGACCCAGCTAAACTTTCAAACTTACGCACGATAGGCAAAACACATTTATAATAAGCAAAACACGTTTCAAACTCCCCCACCACATTTAGGAAAATATTACTAAAAGCCCCTTTAATTTAAACACTGAACCAAACCTCAGGGGTATTTCTTGTAATTGGCATTTTTCTTTTCCTTTATACATATATACGTATATTTACAAATTGCACATTTCAACATGTGATAGAATATTCTTACGTAAATACAGATGGGTAGTCTTAGATTTCAAAGACTTAATCTGTTCTACAGTTCCAACCATGTGTCACTGCATCAAATGGCAAAAAGGTGAATTTTCTTAACCTTGCAAAAACATTGTTGTGTAGCCACTTCCTTTCCACAATGGGATCACAAAATAACGGCTGTAAAACAAATAGAAAATAACTTTCAGTTTATGAGCAAAATGTAAAATGAGAAGACAAAAAAGGTAGATCCCTACCAATCTGAAGTTCTTTGCTCCAAGAGATGGTACAGCTTTGCACTCATTGACACACCAATATGACCCCTTCCCAGGTGACACTGACAAAACAACCATCAACACTGTAAAATTGCAAGAAAAATATTGAAATCACAAAGAAGGAATGTGCTGAATACAAATAGCTGATATATTTCAATTCAAAGTATATATAGCACCATAAAGCTATAACAGTTGCTTCTGAATATAATATCATCCACGAACAAAACAGAACGAATGCCTCAAGAATTAATATGTAGTAAATGTTATTTATAAAAAAGCATTTGTTGAATTGTAAGTTTTAGCACAGCCAGAGGCTGTCTGAAATGAAACAATTCACCATATGACGCTCTCATGTACAGTTAGTCAACCATGTCCAGTTAATAGCGGAAAAGCATCCAATATATAACAAAACCACTGCAATCTACTCCTTCAAATGGAGAAGAAAGGGNAATACCAAAAAAAATAAAAAACTAAGTTTTTAGTTGGAATTTTTTGTGGAATTATTCTGCTATCAAAATGAAGCATAAATATAGAAGTAAAGACATTTTACTATGGTTAAAAGAAACATACATCATCCCAAATATCAGCAAGTTCCTCAGAGGATTTGCTCTTAGCCCTGCTGATATCTATAATCGACTCCAAGGACTTGGGCTGCAAAGGTGTGAACCCGGATGCAAAACTCGATGTTCTGCAATATCCTGGTGGCCCCCACCTCAACAGATTTCCAGAAAATGCAGCCTTTCGAGTATTATCAACCTGTCTTTGCAAAGCCGAGATGGCACTAAAATAATGTTTTTTTGCGACCATTGATGAACATGAAGTTTTTGAACATAGGGATCCGGCTAACGAAAATGCCCTCCGTGTGACCTTGGATACCACATGATGCATCATGCAATTTCTTCTGCAACATACATATTAATATTAACATGGAAAAAAGGAAAAGAAAGCGAAAAAGACGATCACTAATAAAATTTAGAAAAGTGAAACAACTGAAAGCTGAAACCCATCCCATGTTTGGCGCAAACTGTTGGGATCTGTGAGGATCTCGTTATGTACAAATCACGAATTCAATAGCAAACGTAAACCTATGCGCAGCGGATCTAAAGGTTTGACGTAGAGAACTTACGGCTTAAAATTTATGTAGATCTGGTTGACCACGAACGGTTGGCCGCAATTGATTGACCGCAAATCACGTCTTGGGTTGCACGAACAAGATCAGATCAAAACCGGATCAAACGGATGCAAACAGATCAAAACGAGATTTTGCTGTCAGGCACCTTTCGACGGCGCGTGATGGCGCGTGTGGCGTCTGATTCCGGCGACGTCGGCGGCAATGGAAAGCTCTCATCGAGACGGTCGTCTGGGTATACTGTACGTCTCAATCGGACTTCCGGTTAGTTCTGTAGGTCAAAATATATTTCGTCTCGGTTTACCTACAGATCTTCTACTGTATTACTCAATACACCCTTCTTCAACTTGTACCAGTGGAGCAACAAGAAGAAGATAAATCTCGAATGAGATCTAGAGAGAGAGAGGCGTGTGAGGCGTGTTTCACGTGAGATGTGAACTCTCATCTCTTCTCATGAGCTTAATGATGTATATATAGAGAGCTACAGTAGGGACCCTAAGGAGATTAGGAAAAGGGCTCCTTAATTAATTAGACTAACTGTGGGCCAAACCCACTCCTCTAATTAATTAAATAATATTAATGGGCCACCAACATTATATTATTGTACTCCCTTTCCCTAGCCCAAATTACATTTGAGACTCCAAAAATAATTACTCGATTTACCTCCCCACGTTTAAGATATAATGTCCATTAATTAATTCGATTACTGACAATCAAGAATTAATTAATTTATTATTATTTCACCGAAGCTAGCGCTCGTTCATCACATTCTTATTATGCCGGAATTTAATCCACCTGCAGGGTTTAGCATAACAATTCTTCATGAACTCACTCCGGGGACATCATCAAACTAACGCACATGGTGACCGTAAATATCCTAACAACACATCCTATATATAATAATATTACCCAAAACAGTAGGAATATTAATCCAGCGAACTGAACCTCACCCATGTGAATAAAAGTAATATATATTATATATATCTGCCTATTTAATATCTTACGGGTTAAGAGAACGCAATAATTAACCGAGGCCTAGTTCATTTACGACGATCAGTATAAAATGAACTTCTCCTCTCTGGGATCCTGTTCAATACATAAATGTACTAGTGCAACTAATCAGTCAAGACAAACTGTACAGTTGACACTACAACCGTTCGGATGGGGTGTTCATGTCCATCTAGGTTGTGAACAACTATTCTTGTTCGCAAGTAACTGATAGAGTGACCTTCGGTTCGCCCGATGACGACCCACACTATCTAAGTGCAGAACAACAGAACGTAGAACTTGTTTAATCTAACACGATTCTCATTCATAAAGGGTAAATGTGTAATATCATGCAAAGCCAAGCTTTCAGTATATAACACTAACACAAACAACCCATTTTGGAAACTACGAGCTTGTTGGGGTTGAACACCAAACGCAGCGGACAAAAATACCCCTCCAACAAATATGGCAAGCACTACTCCAAACGAAAATAAGCCAACACAAATAAATAAAAGACAAGAAATAAAAAGGACACAAAAATTGATAACGGAGTTCGGCGAAAATAGCCTACGTCTCCGGGCACCGCCAACCGCAATGCCAAATTTACTAAACTCACAATCAAAATACAACTAGGGTTAAATAACCCACAAATTAGGATTTCCTTAAATAAAGATTTCCTACCAAGAGAGGAGAGAATAGAATAAGGTGCAATTGTAACCCAAAGGCAATGGACCTATTTATACTAATAAGATCCTACACATCTTTGTATACATCCAATGTGGGACAACAATTAATCAAAATCTAACAATTCTCCACTTTGACTAATTTTGCTCCCACTTCGACTCTTCAATCCAAATCAACTACTGGCGGTGCCTCCAAATTAGCCTCACGGCGCCAACTCAAATATGCAGAATGTTAGTCAAGTCCAAACAATGTTCAAACTTGACTGCTGTCACTACCTTGGTCATCATATCTGCAGGATTCTCCGTGGTCTTGATCATCTTCAACACAATGGTTCCATCTTCTAGAATCTATTATATTTAATGTTACTCAACATATATTTACTGCCACATTAACATTAAATATAATCCTAAATGCTCACTGATAGTGGCGGCATTAACAAGGGGGATTGATTAACTTTAAAAATTAATGAAGTTGTTACAAAAAAGTATGTCATGTAAAAATTTTTAGTCAGATGCCGGGGGAATGACCCATCACTGACGTACAACATCCTCGCACAGAAAGATTTACGACTTGGGCCTAAAGTGTGATACAGGTGGAAATTCTTTTTACCAAAAGATTTGATGGAATCACACATTCCCATTTGTGAGTATAAGCTACCACGCCCACCACCCTACCAACCATCAGGGAAAAAAAATGAGACGTCGCATCATCCCAAGAAGAAAGCAAAAAAGAAGTAGAGAAAAACGTCGCGATTCAGGAAAGGGAAATCAAATACGAAGAAAGGTGGCAAAGGTACAAAAAAGAATGTTAGAAAGAAAGGAAAGAAGGAAGGGGAACAAGAACAGACAAGTTTTTCTTACTTCCGTTATTTGTGTCATGCCATATAACCTGTTCAAGAGGAGTCCACCTCAGAAGTTGAGGTATTTCTTATTTTCGTTATTTTTTGAATCAGGTTTCTCCTCCGACTGGAATCAGGTTTCTCCTCCGACGGGGAGTAGCTCAATATAAAGTTCGAAAATAGCTTAAATTATGCACCTAGACATTATGTCTAGACATTATGTGAAGGCGGTAAAATGTCGTTTAGGAGTCTTGCGGTTCCACTTGTCATCATCATCAGAATGGTTGCCATTAACATCAGAAAGGTCGTCATCGCCATCAGCATTGGAAAGGTCGCTATCATCAGAAGGGTCGTCGCAATAATCGGCACATTAATTGTTTGAACAAAGTCCTACCAAAAAAATCTAAAGAACATTAATTTTTTGAACAAAGTCCTACCACTTGCGATTTGGGGAGACAAGGACAGAAAGAGACCCGAGCACGTCAATAAATGTTAACACCTGCAATAAAGGACGCATAATAGTTAGATTGGCTAACCGTGGACAATCACAACATATGTATCGAATCCAATGTTCTGTAAAGATGCAAGACGAAATTCAATTTAGGAAAATAATAAATGAACAAAATAAACAAGATCATAAACCAAACCACATGTATTAAGTAATAACCACCTAAGAGTTAATAAAGCCAGGGTAACCATAACATTGCTTATTTTGATTTGTTCTGTTTTCTTGTTTTTTTTACTTCCAAACAAGGGATGACCAAAAAACAAAAAGGTTCCAAGTCTACTTATTATAACCATCACAGTCTCATTGAGAAATATATACAGATTACACAGAATGTGCAATTGACATTCTCACATCATTTTAGTTTGCACGAGTTCAATCAGGCACTCAAAAAACACATTTATTATTCTACAAACAAAATAACAAAGTTGGGACAATGTTTGTAAACTATCCCAGCAACCAAACATATCACACTCCTTCATGTACCAGTTTTAGCAAAACAGCGCCTCATGGGAATTAGAAATGAACTCATCGAAAGAGCTACAGCAACAAAGATTCCATTGTTTGTTCTAAAACCCAACCGCTAACGAAAAGCAAGATCAAGACTCAGATAAATGAAAGGCACAAATCAAAATATTAAAAATAAAAAAACAAAAGTCGCTGGCGAACATAAAACAAGACATAGGAGCAACTTATCTATCAAACATGCACACTCTCAGCGTATCCCAACATCAAATGAACAAACAACATGGTTAAATGAAATGCAAAAAAACTTCATGGGGGCCTCAAATGAAATTGTTATAGTATGACACACAAATAAAGCAACCAAAAACTAAAGAAACCGAAAGAAAACATCATTACTATCCTTTCCCACATAGAGCCCAAAAATCTTAGCAAAACCCATATGAAAGCTCACAATATCACCTAATCCAGCAGAAAACCAATTCAACAAAATAGCATTCACAGGATCAACATAGACCCATATATGGCCGAATCTATATGCCATCTCATATTAAACCAATATCTCACGAAATATGAAATACAATTCAACAAAATTCTAAATCACAACAGACGAAAAAAAAAAAAGAAGATTAGGTACAGATTTATAACCCTCACGTGAAATAGATGCGGAGTTAGGTAGGGGAGATATCGGCGACCAAAAAGAAGCAATTCAAACTTGCGAGGTTAACAATGTTAGAATCCACTACAAGAAATTTTTTTTTAAGAAAAACGGAGGAAGAAGATGGTGGTGGTGAAAACGGGCGAAACAAACTAGGGCTTCTCGTCTGTGTCGAGGACGACGAAGAACACAATTCTGGCATCTAAATCTGGTTATATACGGCTAAATTTGTAATTTACTTGACATGCAGGGGTATAAATGTCATTTGATAGGCTCCTTTTTGGACAAAATTGGAAACCAAATGCGGGGATTAAAATATCTTACCTCCATGGGCGGACAAAATAAACCTGCCAGCGCATTTTACAGATGTAGGACCCACGTGCCACACCATTCACACATCAGCTCAATCCTAATCCCAATACCACATAGTAAACGTATGATAAGGTTGGTTATATCATGGCTAGTAAACGAGGCCTTAATGATGTAAGAAACAAAAAAATAAAATAATTCCATAATAAGGTCAAAAGAGTAATTTTGATGTTGAAAAATTTCCCCCCTCCAAATTTCCCCATTTTTGGAGGGGAGAAGGAAAAACTTAAAAAAATTCCTCTCCCTATAAAAAATTGAACCAAATCAAAGAAATTAAAAAATTATCTCCCCTCCCCTCCCTTCCCTCCCCTCAGTTTC